GGGGGTATGGAGGACTTAATGTCAAGCTTTGGTTAGACTCAGGAGTTGATTACAAGGGGCTTGGCTGACCTGAGCAACAGCTGCTTAGATGTCAGCACTGGAGGGAATTTGGTATCCTTTGCCCTCTGATTATAATTCCTGGTGTCATTCTCTTAAGTCTGCGCCTCCTCTGCTAAGTACTTTCCCTGTTGTCTGCATGGGAGGGGAGGTCACCCAGATGCGTGAGGTCCAGACAGGGGAAATAGTGAACATACTGAAGTCTGTGCACCAGAAATCGTGCAATAGCATGTGGGAGGGGATTTCTTGTAATGGGACCAAGTTCAACTATCTGCAGCCAAAAGTGGTAAATATAGAACAGTTCAAAGACCAATTCCCTCGTTTTTCGGTTTGTTCTAGCTTCCAAAGCTAAAAATGAGAATGACTGCTTCTTAAAAGAATGGAAATGCTATTGTTTGAGAAAGCAGTTGAACAAAATGTGTATGCAGCACGTTTCCCCAAAATCTCTGCACTCTGTGCCTGCTGCAGTGTGTAAGCTGGTCTAACACATGCAGCTCTGTGTGAAGCAGTCATGGAGACAATTAACAGTGTCAAAAAGCTGGCTGTGCCACAACTTGACTTTTGAAAGCAGTAGATTTCTGGGTGTTAGTTTGTTTCAATCCCTCATCTTCAGTACTTGGCAGTTCCTTTGACCTTACAGAGGTGTTTCGTGTCACCCCCTGCGCCTTCTCTACCAGTCTCTCACACAGCCTTGTTTCTGTGGTTGTTCAGCTCCTGGGCCCTTCTTCTGCAGGCTGAGGAAAGCAAAACTATCCTTTGTTGCTCCAGAAAGGATCTCTAGGGTAATGCGGTTCACTCTCTCTGTACAAAACCCTGATTGTTTGCTTGCAAATGTACGCAAACAGGAAAGCTGTTCTTTCAGAGTTGATGAAGAACTTTAAAGTGGGGCCCAGAACAATTTTCCCCAAGGATAACAGCCCCCTAATCCATGGAGTTTTGAAGTTGGATGGCAGCTCTCGTTACCGGCTGGAAAGACTATAGACGCCAATACAGGTGATCGACATGCTTCCTGGGGCTATACCCAAGGAGGCACTGTGTTGTTGAAGAGGGTAACCATACATGACAGACTGGATTTTGCCATCTGAAATCAAACTTGGTTGTACAGTCAGCAGCATCCTTAAATGAATCAAACTTCGTTTTGCGGGATTTTCCACCTCTCTAGCAGAGCTGGAGCTCCTGTGAAACAACAGCAGTGCCACCTGCATGCTGGGGAGATGAGGACAGGAGTTGGCCCCTGAGGAGAATGTCTTCAAACTAGAGGGGTAAATGGATACCAGCCTGTGGCACGTCACAGAATCACAGAATGTTTGGGGTTGGAAGGGCCCTGTGTGGGTCATCTAGTCCAACCCTCCTGCCGAAGCAGGGTCACCTACAGCAGGCTGCACAGGACCACATCCAGGCAGGTCTTGAATATCTCCAGAGAAGGAGATATTCCCTTATACTGTCCGTGGCAGTAAGCTAAAGCTGAGCATCTCTTGCGCTCCCAACTGTCCGTGTTATGGTCTGGTCATGCCTGGAGCATGCCAGCTCCTCGGCCGTGCTGGCACCCCAGGAGGTGGCTGTCTTAGGGCAACCCCTGCCATCTCTCTGTCCCTTGCAGCCAGATGTTGCTGCCCCATGGAAGAGCTGGAAGCTAACACCCCGCAGCCAGCAACCCAGGGACCTGCCGGACGGCGTTGCCCTCCTGCGCCACTGCTGCGGGGCGAGGGCCGTGTGCTGGCTGAGCTCATCGGGCTGCTGGCTCGCTGCCCAGCTCTGCGACACCGGCTGAGCGTCCTGCACCAGAAATTAGAGGGAGCTGAGCTAGGGAAGGAGGAGGAGGGTGCCATCTTACAGTGCATCCCCACCCACACGCAGCTCCTCGAAATGGGAGGCGGCAGCGGCAGCTTTAATATAAATGCAAATAAAAGCTCTGGAGTGTTATTAATGTGGTAGAACCTTTCCAGGGAAATGGTTCAGAGGAGGAAGAATAGTTCCCAGATGCTCAGTGTTGAGCTAGTTTATTGTGAATAAGATTCATCAAACCGGTTAATGGCCTGTTGCTCCCTCTGTTATGTGAATGTAAAGCAAACAGGAAAATTGGTTGACAGGTACAAGCTAATGTAAGCCAGTAAAGCCTCTGCCGTATCCACAAGTCTTTATTTCTCTAGTGTAGAAAGCAACAGCTAATGTCAGCATTATGTGTGTATCAAGAGGGGGGAGGACTGCAAATGTAAACCAAGAAAACATGGTTGCTTAGGGCACTAACCAACCTCTTGCCTCTGAAATGTCATAGCAGTAACAAACCTGGCTGCAAATGAACGAAGACAGACTGTAGAACTTGCTTGGACAAGAAAGACTTAAAATGCTGAAAAAGCTGTGGGGGAAAACCAGTGGGGGAGGGTCCTAAAAACCTTTGGGAATCTCAGCCTCTGGTTTCTTTTTCAGGACTGACTTCCATTTCAGTCTTGCTGATGGTCAGCACAGCATCAGCACCTAGAACACTGATGGGCTGCCGAACGCCTTAGGTAAGGGACTGGTTATTGTAGAAAGGGTGAACAGCAGCAGCGCCCTGAATAACTCACAAAAGAAAAGTTTCAGCAAAAGGAAGTGTCTCATTTTGAGAAAAGACGACCCATCAATTCAATTAAAAACGAGGAGTGTAAACAAAGGCAGGCTGCCTAATGCCTGCTTACAGCTCAAAACGTGGAACTCCAGCCAAGCCAGGCTGAAGAGTTAGTACGTTTGAGACGGATTAAAGGTTTGCATGTCTACCCATAGTTACATTAAATAGGATTAACAGTGCTAGCCACTAACTGGTGGGGGCAGGGGAAATAAAAGCATGGAGGTTGCTCTGCAGCTGTCCACGGGGCTACATGCACCTTTTTCTGAACGAATCAGCTCTTGGCAGGGCTAACCAGTGATCTAGCCAAGCTGGTCTGTCCTGAGCTGCACCATTTGCGTGCCAGCAAGATTATTTATCTCCTTTACTGGGAGGCAAAGACTAGGTCTTTTTCTCTGACTGTCCACGTGCTGTAATGGAGATGCAGAGGAGTTACAGAGCTGGGAGATTCTCTGCTGTGTGTAAATTAAGCTGACGCATCTGCTGCGCTTGAAGCTCGCACCCTGCCATTTTTTCAAAGGGGGTGTGTGTGTAAAAGAGAGGAAAAGAGCAGCTGAAGGAGAAATGAGAGGCAGCTAGCCATTGCAGTGAGAACATGCGCCTATGTAATAGGGGAGTTGGAGCTTGTGGGTAGAGGCAGCTTCATTCAGTGGCTTGTGACACTGCATGAGTGCGCTGAAAATCATGCGAAGACAGCATACCGCGGATACCTGAGCAGCCCAAATAGTGTTGCCTAGGTTGGGGGACTGAACTCCTCTGTTAATTCACAAGGCCCAACTAAACAACCTGAGGCATTTCAACAGGAAAGTCAGCAAAAGTGAACTTTTTTGGCCGAGCAAGGGATGCTCATGGTAAGACCCCAAGACTGTCTTTGCACTAGGAACGAAGTGTAACAGGAGTATGTGCTGGGCTGCACAGCAAGGCTGTGAATACGTCAGGAGGATGGAGGAAGGTAGGTTGTCTCCAGAAGCTACTGAACTGTATTAAGAAAAAATTAGCATAGACAGGATGGAAATTACACTTATAGGAAGGACAATACTTGTTTCTGAAGGCCTAAACCTATGGAAAGATAAAGACAACTGGTGTTATTCTGACAAAAAATGTATAGATTTCCCACCCCCAAAAAAGGCTTTCTGAATTAGAAACAGGTTTAGTAAGTGGAAAAGAAAGGTGGATACACAGCAGTGAGGGCTGAGAAAGCAAGGGACATCTCAAAACAGAGAAAGTATATAGATATGCCAAGAACAGAAGCTGAACCATACCTAAAAAAATGGTGAGGCAATAGTTAACGAGGCTGTGGGAAATGCGAGTGAGACAAGGAGTGTATTTTTTTCGGGAGGCACGTGACTCCTCTCTGGAGACGACATGGCTTTGGGGCCGGGGGATAGGGGGCTGTGACCGGACTACCACTGTGAAATTGTTTCGATCAGAATAACCCACATTTTCTTTCTACCAGTCCAGCTCAGCAGTGCTGAGGGAGCATTCATCTCCCAAAGGACAGCCTGTCCTTGCAGCTATTTCTGGGCTTCCTGCCAGGGCAAAAGCTATTTGGAAGATTTTATCATCATTCTTTCTTCATTCTCCAGAGCTGCAGCTGGGGATTTATTTCTGTAAGCATGCTGCAAAGGTGCATCTGGTTCTCCACACAGATATGTGACGAAGTTGGCAGCAGTAGTGGTTTTCTCTTTGCAAGAAGTGCAAGCACCTGGGTCTCTCTAAAGGCAGGGCGAAGATGAAGGTAGTTATAAATATCATTATAACAGCAGAAACACGCTCGTGAGAAGGGGCCATGTGCTGTCAGAGCAGCTTTATAAGCAGCGAACCGCTGGGGGTGGTTTGGTTATGTACGGGGATATCGAACTCCTGTTTACCATGTTGTACAAAATTAGCTAAGGGATCGGCAGCCTGAGGGTCATGCACGCTGTGTGTGTGAAGCGTGCACACTCCACTCCACTGCCCTTAATTCAGAGGAAAAATAACCAAGACAGAAACCCCATCAGCCGTGCCAATTCAGATTCAAATGGCTTTTATGCAGCGTAGATTGGGGGAATTATGCTGTTTCCAAGGACGTAGAAGTGGGCTCCTCCAGGGGTAGGTAAAGCCTGCATTTCATACACTACAATCTATTTCTGGACATGGTTTCACACTGTATGCAAGCCATGAGGATTCGACTGCAGCACATTTGTTCTGAGAGGATGTGAGAAAAAGAAGACAGCTCCTGCAGCTTGCAAAATGTAAAATCAGTCACGAGGCGGGAGGCTATCGGAGTTCTTCTCCCGCGGGCTGGGGTTTGTAACGTGATGGTGTCCTCGGTGTTCTTGCGGCAGGCCGGACAAGCTGCTGGGCTGCAGAGCCAGGTGGCGTGACGCCGGCTGTGCCTAGCACCAGCCTGGAGGAAAAGGCTAAATGACAAACTCGGAGGAAGAGTCAGCCTTAATCTCTAGCCAGTGTAAAAGCTTAACTAAGTTACTAAGTATGGAAACACAGCGTCATTTCAGCAGGCGTTGCATAAGGTTGCCATATTGGCTGCCTCTGAGAAGCTGCAAGCTCAGAGCCTCAGCAAACAGTAACGCCAGCCGCTCTTTTAAGTGCAGGTTACTGGATCTCCTGCGAGCAGTCCTATAAAACGCACACAGGGCAGAAAGCGAAGCTGCACGTGTGCGTCATGCATTCCTGGTCTCCCCTTCCAGCTCTGATCTTCCTTCCCTGGAGCGAGTGTAATTTGGTAAATTGGAACTACGTACTCTCTAAAGGGCTGTAGAAACCAGAATCATGTATTTACTGGCCAGCACAGACACTGCCTCGTCTGCCTGCAGAGCATGGACTCAAAGAAAATAATTATTTTCATCAGAAGTGGCTCACAGACAGCCCTGCCATGGGGTGGGGAGATAAATGTTCTGACATCTTTCCAGGCTTTGGATGAACTGAGTAAGGGCTGCAAAATACACCCGCTGCCCAGGTTGTTGCCAGGTTTAAGCAGCAGCTCTGAGGAAAGTGGAGGTGGTTGCCTCGTTTGGAAAGGGAGATCAGTCTGGGGAGGAGAAGAGGGGTTTGCCCTGCACCGAGAAGCAACTTACTCATACATTCATACAGGTTGCCATGTTTTCTGTAGCTCAGCTGAGCCCAAACACATTAAGAGTCACCTCAGCTACAGATTTGACCCAACAAGGGCAAGACTGTCCTGCTCATTGGGCTCTTCTGCCTCTAATTATCCCTGTCCCCAGCCTCACAGGTCCAGCTGATCTGAAAGAAACCTGTTAGGCTGCTTTACCTCCCAAAACAGTACTGTCCCTCATCCCTGCATGGGGTGACCTGTAAGTTCTAGAGAACAAAGCAGCACTTAAAGCAGGACCGCGATGTGCTTGCCAGACTGCAGTGCTTCCCGTTTACACAGGACATAATGGTCAGTGCACGTGCCTGGGAGGTGAGAGGTGGAGCAGATGCTCTCACGAAGGTGAGAAGTCTAGATGGAGGCTACTCAGACAAGAGGGAACTCGCTGTCTCACGAAACCCGAGGTGAAGGTCTCAGCTACCCACACCGCTTTCAGTGCAGCACGAGCCCCAACTCCTGACAGGGAGTCTTTTGGCTGTAATTGCAGTAGCATCCATGTCACCCAGGCACCAGCTGCAAGCGCCAACAGGTCACATCACCACCGAGGGCCTGGCCTGCTCGTCCATCCCTGCTGGCAAGCAGCTGCCTGCTTCACCTTCCTGCTGGAGGAGCCTTCAGGCAGCAGGTCCCAGGGCTGTCATCCCCTGTCACGCATTGGCAATGAACAGGGCTGGAGGACTGCAGCCCTCACTTGACGACGTAAGGAGCTCAGGTGCCAGAGACCAGGACCCCCACGAGGCTGCAATCGGACAAACGATTTTCTGTTTGAAATACCATTAGGGACCTTCTCGCTCCCTGCTCCAGCACTGGCTGGAGCCCAGCATGGGCTATTGCTGCCCCTGAAGCCATGGCACTGCGTGTGCGCACCAGCTGGGCTGCGACTTGCCAGTGCCCGACCCGAGCAGCTTACTGGGTCGTGTCAGGGCAAGGGAGACGGAATCTTAACTCCTCGGGCAAGGATGTGCACGTCCACATGCCAAAGCTGGCTCCAGCAGGCCAAGCAGGGATTACGTGATGCTAAATCTGGGTATCAGTGGCTGGAAAAAAAAGCCCCCCCACACAAAATGATTAAAAACAGCACATCCCAAATCCTTGAAGCTTCTATTAGCAGAGTCCGGCCACAACGAGTGTGGAACTTCACTGACATTCAGAACCTCACAGAACTAGAACACACCACAGAAAAAATTTTCCTTGCGTTGAGTGGCTAGACTATGAACTTGCCCACGACTAGAAAGGCACTAATTAGTAATCTACGGGCAGAAAACACCCTGCCACACAGACTGCTGCTTGCCATCTTTCTGCCCGAGTTCTCCGCAGCGTGTAATAGACACCATCACGGCAGGGCTGGGTTTGCCTTTCCCCATCGCATCTTCTCCCTCCCCAGGCTCCAGCCGCGGAGTGTTCCCTCGCTCGACATGGCCCCGCTGGGACGCAATCCCCAAGAGCTGAGCTGCAGCCCACTGCCAGCACCCACTCCCGCCCACTCCCACCGAGCTACACGCCTGCCTCGGGGCAGAGCCCAACCAGCTCATCTGCTCCCTCAATAGAAGAAAGTCAAATTTACCTTTGCACCTTAAAATTTGACTCTCCAGTGGCTATGGGAAGCAGCTGCCACGTTTTCCATGCTTTGGGACATGAACATCTTCGACCCGTGAGAGCACTGAGTAAGCCCAGCACCAGGCCTGGACCTACACCTCCCACCCGTACTTTCTGTATGTCCTGGGATACACGGGTCAACAGGGAGAAATAGGCAGTGCCAGCCCAACACCACCTTTACTCACTCGACTCATCTCCCCTCCAGCTGCTCACTGCTTAAACTTACTTTCACAACCAATGTTTTCGGCATGTTTCACACCTCCGACCATTCACCTCCCTCGGAGTGAATATCCAAGTCAGCCACATCTGAAAAACCAAACCCTCCCACCACCTACTTCACTGATCTTCAGTACCTTGTCTCATCTCACACAAGTCAAACCCTTTAAATGAAATTAATGCCTTCCCACAGAAAAACCTGGCACACCTCAGTGTGATCCCCCCACTTCAGTTAACAAACATCTGTAAATTGTAGTGGGTGACAAGCCCCGTGAATTACTCTGTTAAACGAACAAAGCAGTTTCTGTGCACTTCACACAGCATTCTCCCCCAAAGCAGCCAGCCTCCAGTGTTCATATTCACACCTAAGCTTGGAAGAAGTTACACTTGTTTCACAGTTGTACCCAGTTATCACACACCAAATTTACTATAAAATAATTTATTAGACAGCAATACACAGCTTTAGCAGCAAGCTTATATACATGCACATAAAAACTGCTGACTACCCTACTCAGGGACTCTAGCTCTTTTGCCCTTGGCCTTACGGACCTCTTCAATCAGATCTTTTAAGTACTGAATTTCCTTACTAAGGGAATCTGCTTTCTCCTTCAGGGCCTGATTCTTCTGCTCCAACTCTCTGCACTCCCCTGACAACGCCTCCTGTTCTGCCCTCTTCTTCTGCCGGTAACGCGTGGCAGCCGTCTTATTCTGCTCCATCTTTTTCAATTTCTTATCTATTTTCTTTTCTCCTTTCACCTTTGCTGACACTACCTTCTCTGCAGGATGATCGTACGGCTTGGACCGCACAGAGCCACAGCTGGCATCTGCAGGGAACGGGTTGCCATTGGGGGATCCGACCGAATGCGTCGGGCTATGCTGGGGTGTGCCCAGGTAGGAGTCTGGGCTCATGCATATTCCACTGTCATCAGAATGGTTCTCCTCCTCTTTCTCAGACTTGGTGATCACTACCACAAAGGTGGGGCCCTCCTGTTTTCTTTCTCCTTCCAGAACATCCACTTCACTTCCTAGTTCTAAACTAAATGAATGGTCTGGAGTGGAAGTCAGAGACCCTGGGGAGAGGGGAAAAGACCAAAGGGAAGCCAATGGGGCCATGGGATCTGCTCCAATTGGAGAGTCAGGGAGGTGGGTGATTAGGTCAGTTATCAGTGGAGGTTCTTTGTTGTGGAATTCCTGGATGGTAGGGTTAAATAGGAGATCACACGTGTCTTCCAACGTGGCCATCAGCTCGTCTGGTGAGACGGTGGCTTCCAGATGTTCCATACCTAACAGGGCATCAAAATCAAATTCCTTCAGATCCATCTTCTCCACCATCCACTCCATGCCAGAGAAGGCATCCTCTGCACAAACAGACAAAAAAAAAAAAATCACCAACCAATGCAACTCCAGCTTCTGAAAACAATCTAGAAACTCATCTTTGAACACCTTCCCTATATTTTATATTGCTATGAAAAAAATCAGCCATCAGAAAAAATCTCCCGCAATTCAGCTGCAGAAGACTGCAGGGTACAATGTCAGCCATCAGCTGTTCCAACATTCCATCCCTCTTACTCCAACCCCAGAAGAATTCCAGGCCATTTGAAACACACAGCCATGATAATTTCTTATGACCTCCACCAGAGCAGTACAGTAACAGCTGGTACGTTAATGAAAGAACAACTAAAGTGTCACTTCACCATACGCCAGTCCAGTAACCAGCAATTGTTTCATTTAAGCAGTGTAGAACACACACTTGCCAAGCAGAGGTATGCATGTGAGGTTGCCTTCATGTTTATGAAAACATAGCAATTTTATTACCTAATCAGCATGTTACTTAGTATTTTATGTGCCACTGTAATACATGTACTTTATGCAAATAAGTAACACCTTACCCTGGCTGCTATCTATGGTGTTGCCTAAACTGTCCACAGCAAGCCAATTGGAGGAGACTGCCTTAGCCTTGTCGCTGGAGAACCCATGCGAACCGAGGGGCTCGGCCACCTCCAGGTAGTCATCTAGGAGTCCCAGACTTTCCTCAGCCACCGAACACGGCTGGCTGAAGGGGGATAACGAATCCCCCAACAGCATCTCGTTGTTCAAGAGGCTCATCTTCGTCAGTTTTTAATGCTTTGACGTCGAAGGATGCAGACAGGTAGAGGGTCTTTTTGTCGACTACAGCAATGCTGCTGTGCAGTGCCTTGAAAAACCTGCAAACAGAACTTTTAATTCGTCAGTACTCGTTCAACCAGCACAGGTTTTTTTAAAAGCGATGCGACCTCAGGAAGCATGGTGGTTACTCTACGGACTTGTACGCCCTTCCTATCTGCGGGGCTGCTGTTTGCCCGCAGCATAGCGTCCTCGCACTTTTTAGTTTCCTGCCCAAGGCCCGCACCTCCCGCCGAGGCCCGCCCGGCTTCCTCACGCCGCCGGCCCCGCCCCACCGCCGTGACGCACGCCCCGCCAGCGGCGGGACGAGTACCGAGGACGCGGTGCTGCAGGGGAGGTGGAAAGGGACAGCGGACCCCTCTGAAACGAGCTTACAACACGGGGCGTGTGCCTGAGAAACCGAATCGAGAGTCTCACGCACTTTTTACTGGAATTTCCAGAGGGTTGAGACACCCCTCCAGATTATCAGGGCAGACTTAACGCTACACTGTTTAAGGATCACAGCACAGTTTAAGACCAGCCCCCGTTTATCTACTCGGGACGACGGACCAACCCTCTCCGAACCCCGACGCCTCCAACGCCCCGTTTCCCCCCGCCACAGAAGCGCTCCCCTCACGCGGGGTAGATGTACCCTCCCCCCACCAATGTACTGCTCTCGCTCCCACCAAACCTTAAAACCCCGAACTTTTGGAAATCGAGTTTTCTTGAACGAGGAAAGCCACCAGAATTCCTCGTTATTTCTTCTGGAATGGCATTTCCTGCCATTTCTGACACCCGCCGCCCCCGCGCAGTTTGAGGCCACGCAAGGACGCCCCCTTCTTCCATCTTATTACCCAAGTACTTTTGTTCTGGGAGATGCCATCCATTACCATAAGGGTGACAAACCCACCCCCGAAGCCCACTTAAAAGGGAGAAGATGGCGACCAAGCAACACCCAGAGGAAGCGCTCCCGTCCCTCACACACAATACTCACGCCATGGTTGCAGATGCCGGGGAGGTGCTGAGGC